TGTTAGCCTATAAGCCGTGAGCTATTTTTGTCCCGAAGGATTTTCTTACGAGCTTAGATTGGAATTATTTTTAGCAAAACCCGCGCGAACTGTAAGCGTATTGGCTAAATATGCCTCCCCCGCCGAGTCGTTTTAACTAGGCCGGACCAGAACGCAGTGCCAACATTTTGTCTCCTTTTCTTTAGAAACCTAAAATTTGAATACTCATATTCCATCAAAATCTAGTGAAACTCCTTTCTTAATCTCGTAATAAATATATGATCCATCCACAAGTACGAGACGGTGATGAACGTCTTCGTCATTGCTCCTCGGCGTCAGAGCAGTCTACCGAAGCAAGATCTTTCACACATAGACCACCGGATCGGCCGGCCTCGTTGGTCTCACCAAGGAGTCTGATACTTGGCCTAATTCTGAGTGGGCAAATGCCTTGCTCGACAAAATTGATGGACGACAAATTCATCTGGACAGACCGAGTGGGCACGACACTCATGTCGTCGCCACGGTATGGGGGCAAAGCCCCCCACCCCCCTAATATGTAAATGGGGGAGCGGGCCAACCCCCATAATTCTAATTTTATTACTCATTTATGATTGATATAAAGTTAAATATCCAACAACAAAGTTATACTTTGCGTTCAAGTGTTCTGTAAAGAAAAGGTAATGTATTCATGTATATAGTTGTAATAGGAATTCATTTGAGTTGGGAATCTTGTCGGCGCACTCCAACTTTGACAATGTGAGGCTCGGCCCAGTCTATATACATCAGTATGTTGGAGTTTGTGGCGAAATGAGTGAATCTACACTCTAAAACATGTGACACCGGTCAGGAAGGCACACACGAGGCGGCCAAAAGCCACCCTATGATAGTGGCCTGAGGCAGCATTCGTAGTCCACCTGTCATGAACCCCCGAGGCAAACTTCCGGTTGCATACTGTACGGGCAGATCAGACTGTGTGAAGAACCAAGGAAACCAACGCGGGAGGCTGGTGCCAAATGGACGACAAAGATGGCCTCATCGTCCGCGGAGGCTCCGAGAAGATAGGTACTCCAGCATCGTTTATAAGTGTAATTTGCGAAAAAAGTAATGTATTCATGTATGAGATGGGGCCCTAGGTCATCCAACTTGTTTAGGGCCAGCCCTGAGTCCCAAGCACATCATCCGCAAGTACAAGACGGTGATGAACGTCTTCATCGTTGCTCCTCGGCGTCAAGGGCGGGTACAACTAGGGGGAGGTCCACCGAGCAAGATCAAAATTATGTCCATGTCGTTGCTTACCGCGGCGTCCATTGTCGCCTCTATACTCCACTCCGGGCAGCTGGCGATCGATCTGCAAACTTTATACATGGCGAATCTTGTTCTCGGCGTGAGCCCAGTGCGTCACCATGAGAGAAATGCAGCAAGTTGGAGCTTGTGGTGAAATGAGTGAATCTACACTCTAAAATATGTCTATATACATATCCCTATGTAATCCATATTAAAATCTTTAAAAAGACTTATATTTAGGAACTACCTTTCCTTATTGGACGTCTTGATTTAATGACACTATAATTTATTTCCTTAGTAGCAGAAGTGAAAAGTCTATAATAGCCCCACACGATCATGACAATGTCTTACCCTCACAATAGGTGAGAGTACTATTAGCCGTTGGAACATGAGAACATAACGGCTAATATCAATCTAGGACCATCTTAAAAGAGATATTGGGAAAATCCAGGCTTCTTGCTTTATGAATAAAAGTTGCATTGCTTATGAGTGAAGTTTTGATATAACGGTACAAATTGGGGTGGCCACCAAAATATGTGACTACTCGTGTTATACGTTGATGTCATTTATTTTGTTTATATAATGCGTGGGCGCGCGTTTAGTAATTTTGTAGTGCAAGCGCTCTCTAAGTAGCATTTGGGGAAATACTTTCTCCTTGCTTATATATGACTTATGAGTGAAGGTTTCATTGCTTATGAGCGAAGGTTTCATATAGCAGTATAAATTGGGGTGGTCACCAAAACATGTAACTACTCCTGAGCTACTCGATCTCCATTTGCTATCCATCTCGAAAAACTAATATCCATCTCCATTCCCTCCGTGTCAATGGCAGGCCAGACGGTCGCCGACGCCGTGAGGGACCAGGCCGCGCTCTGCCTGCTCCTCCTCCGCCACCTCGGAAGCCTCGACGAGGGAATGCCCACGCCCACCACCAACCTCGCTTTCTCGCCGATCTCCTTCCATGCATTGCTCTCCCTCCTGGCCGCGGGTGCCTCGGGCGCCACGCGCGACCAGATCGTCTCCTTCCTCGGCCCCGCGGGCGCAGAGGCACACGCCGCGCTCGCGTCGAAGGTCGCATCCTTCGTACTCGTCGGCCGAGGGTTGGCCCAGGCCCATGGAGCCACCGGCGTCTGGGTCGACGCCTCGCTACTCCTCAGTCCTACCTTCGCCGACACGGCCGCCGCTGTCTACAAGGCCGACGTTCGATCGGTGGACTTCAGCAACAAGCCCAGGGAGGCGACGGCGGAGATCAATGAGTGGTTCGAGAGCAAAACGCGCGGCCTCGTCAAGAACATCGTCTCCGAGCGCGATTGCGACGGCTCCACGGCGCTCGTCCTCGGCAACTCGGTCTTCTTCAGCGGCTACTGGAACTCCCCCTTCTTCCCGGAGGTCACAGAGGAAGGCCCGTTCTATGTCAACGCGTCGCCGGAGCACACCGTTCGCGTGCCGTTCATGAAGGGGAGCCCGTTTCAGCAGATCGGTGTCCACCCCGGCTTCAAGGTCCTGCGCATGCCCTACCGTGGCGGCAGCGGCGACGGCGACCCGTTGTTCGCCATGTACATCTACCTCCCCGACGACCGCGACGGCCTGCCCGCGCTCGCGCGAACACTCAGCGCCAGCCCCGACGCGCTCCTGCACAGGTCGGTCGTGCCGGAGCAGCCCGTCCCGTTGGGCGAGCTCAAGATCCCCAAGTTCGAGGTGTCGGTGAGGGTGGAGGCGTCGCGGATGCTGCGTAACCTGGGGCTGGAGCTGCCGTTCCGTCGCTCCGGCGACTCATTCTCGGAGATGTTGAGCCCGCCGGCGCCTCCGGTGGCTGTCTCGTCCGTCGTCCACCAGTGCGTGGTCAAAGTCGATGAGCGCGGGACGGTGGCCGCCGCAGGCACCGTGGCGATGTCGGCGGGGTTTGGCATGGTACGTGTTCGCCCTGTGGACTTCGTGGCAGATCACCCCTTCGCCTTCTTCCTCATGGAGGATGTCAGTGGCGTGGTGGTATTCGCAGGCCATGTCATCAACCCTTTGCGCCATTGATGGATGGATTACCAGCTCTGCTCTGCTGGCCAGGCCGGAATAGATCTTTTGCTGAAGTAACTGAATTATTTGTATCCTTGTTGTTGTTGTAACAGCGGAAGCAGAATGATCTCGATCTTCTGTAATAAAAGTGGGAAGGGATTACTAGTTCAGAAAATGGGATCCAGTTGTTGCACATGCCGGCTCTCCATCTCTTTCATCAGATGTAACCAGATAACAATCTTCAGAAGCTACTTGATTCATAATGTCTTAATTATAAACTTGTAACCAGATAACAATCTAAGTCAAGCAGTTGCGTTCATTTCAGTTGTGAACTAGTAATTCAAGCCGTGTAGCTGCTTTCTCTTTTCTGCTTTTGTTCTAATTGTTGGAAGCAATCTCTTTGGGCGCTGTGTCGATCAACAGATCATTTAAGGATAATATTTGGGGTTTGAGGCAATGATGTATGTGGTTATGTGACTTATGTCGAATTATCCAGTGATGTACTCCCTCCGTTCCTAAATATAAGTCTTTTTAAAGATTTCAAATGGACTACTACATACTGATGTATGTAGACATATTTTAGAGTGTAGATTTACTCATTTTACTCCGTATCTAGTCATTTATTGAGATCTCTAGAAAGACCTATATTTAGGAACAGAGGGAGTATGAGATTCGCAGAAGAAAAAAACACCCAACTTCCCTTATGTGTGTAAGTATAAACTGTATGGGGAATCTAGAATAACTTGTACATTATCTCCAAATCCGGTTGGCGTGCATGATCATATCAATTTCTTTGGTATGTGATGTCTGTCTTGGTAATGCTGTATTGCCCATATGCTGATTTAGTTGGGTCGAATTCTTGTGGATACTCCCTTCGTCTGGAAATACTTGTCTGAGTAATGGATGTATCTAGAACTAAAATATATCTAGATATATTCATTTCTTCGACAAGTATTTTTGGATGGAGGGAGTACTAGTTGAACTTATACCTGGCCAAGGTGTAACACCTACGATGCGGCTATATCTTCCACGTGTCGGAGCACGACTTAGAGGCATAACCACATAGTAGGCATGTCGCAAGAGGGGTAATCTTTACACATCCCATGTACTGAATAAGAAAGGGATAAATAGCTAGCTTACAATCGCCACTTCACATAAATATAAGAATATATCATTACATCATCCAGAATACAATTAAGGTCCGTATACGAAACCAAAATAAAGACAACCCCAAATGCATAGGATCCCCGATCGCCCAACTGGGCTCCACTACTGATCGTCTAGAAAGGAAACATAATAACGTCATGAATCCTCATTGAACTCCCACTTGAGTTCGGTCGCATCCCCTGGACTGGCATCATCGGCACCTGCAACTGGTTTTGGAAGTAATCTGTGAGTCACGGGGACTCAGCAATCTCACACCCTCGCGATCAAGACTATTTAAGCTTATGGGGTAGGAAAAAGGTAGTGAGGTGGAGCTGCAGCAAGCACTAGCATATATGGTGGCTAACTTACGCAAATGAGAGCGAGAAGAGAAGCAAAGCACGGCCGTGATCAAGAAGTGATCCCGAATCTAGTTACATTCAAGCATAACACCAAAACCGTGTTCACTTCCCGGACTCCGCCAGAAAGAGACTATCACGGCTACACACACGGTTGATTCATTTTAATTAAGTTAAGTGTCAGGTTTTCTACAACCGGATATTAACAAATTCCAATCTGCCCATAACCGCGGGCACAGCTTTCGAAAGTTCAAAACCCTGTAGGGGTCTCCCAACTTAGCCCATCACAAGCTCCCACGGTCAACGAAGGATATTCCTTCTCCGGAGAAGACCCGATCAGTCTCGGAATCCCGGTTACAAGACATTTCGACAATGGTAAAACAAGACCAGCAAAGCCGCCCGAATGTGCCGACAAATCCCGATAGGAGCTGCACATATCTCGTTCTCAGGGCACACTGGATGAGAAATCCGTACAACTAAAACCAACCCTCAAGTTTCCCCGAGGTGGCGCTGCAAGGGGCTCTAGTTCGGACCAACACTTAGAGAAGCACTGGCCCGGGGGGGGGGGGTGTTAAAATAAAGATGACCCTTGGGTTGGCCGACCCAAGGGAAGGGTAATAGGTTGTTAGGCAAATGTAAAATCAAGGTTGGGCGAACTGTCAAGGGGTTCCCATAACACCCAACCGCGTAAGGAACGCAAAATCAAGGAACATAACACCGGTATGACGGAAACTAGGGCGGCAAGAGTGGAACAAAACACCAGGCATAAGGACGAGCCTTCCACCCTTTACCAAGTATATACATGCATTAATTAAAATAAGAGATATTGTGATATCCCAACATATCCATGTTCCAAACATGGAACAAACTTCATCTTCACCTGCAACTAGCAACGCTATAAGAGGGGTTGAGCAAAGCGGTAACATAGCCAAACAACAGTTTGCTAGGAAAGGTGGGTTAGAGGCTTGACATGGCAATATGGGAGGCATGCTATAGCAAGTGGTAGGTGTCGCGGCATAGCAATAGAGCGAACAACTAGCAAGCAAAGATAGAAGTGATTTCGAGGGTATGGTCATCTTGCCTGAGATCCCGCAAGGAAGAAGAACGAGTCCATGAAGAAGACAAGCAGACGTAGTCGAAGAATCCTCACAAATGCGACGTTATCGGAACTAACCCGAAGAAGCAACACCGGAAAGAAGCAAACCACATAGTAAACAACCACCACATAAGCATGACATGATGCACAACCAAGTATGATGCATGTCCGGTTTAATGAGGCATGGCAATATGGCAAATTGCACAAGCAATTCTACAAATTAAGTGGAGCTCAATATGCAACGAGTTGCATATTGACGAAACACCACATTCCAGTTATTTAGTTCGATATTGTTTATGTACCCAACAATATTAAATGTTGATTAACATGGCAAGAGGTGGAGCAAATGAAAACTACCTATCTAGGCAATTTTAAATGAGGCCGGAAGAACAAGCGACAAGTCCCGTAAAATCCTCATGAGCATATTATAGATTTGGTACTGTTCTGCCTTAAACACAATTTTAGAGTTATTAAACATGCAAAGTAATGACACCATGTCAAACTAGGCATTTTTCTACCCCAAATACATATAAAGTTTATTAAGTTTGGAGCTACGGTTATTAAGTTATGAATTTAATCATTTTAGCATGGCATTTAAGCAATTTAATGCAAACGGCAGTTTAAAAATTCTAAACATGGTTGAAACTTGCACATTATGAAACTAGATGAAAACTAAGCATTTTTCATATATAAAACATTTTAATATGATGCACGGTTGATGAGTTTTTATATGCATAAAGTGCAAGGGTTAATCTGCAAAACTGTAAATCCCTGGTTAATTAGCAAAATCGCAGAACCTAAAAAACATCCACTGGGCTGAAACTTGCTGGCCCAACAGGAACAGGGGATCTGGAGGGGTCTGCTCACATCGGGCCTAGCAGGCCGAAGCTGAAGCTGGGCCAGAGAGGAGACACACTGGGCCGATGGGGAATCATCACGGGCCGAAACAGCGAGGCTAGCCCAACAGGAGGAATAAAAGAAGGGGTGCAGGGCAACCCACCATGGGCCAAGGCCCGCTGGATCTAGCGAAGAGGAGCTGGGCAGGCCGCGAAGGGGCGCGCTGGGCGTGGAGGCACGGTCAACGAAAACAACGCTCGTCCTCTCCTCCAGGAGATCAAGCAAGGCAGGGAAAAATAGGGCGAGTTCGTCCGCCGATAGAAAACAAAGCAGCGGCGGCCTAGGACTTGCGGTGGAGGACGGCGGGCATGGATCCGGCGGGGTGGAGCTGATCTGACCGGTGGTGAGGTTGAGGAAGCTCCAAGCGGCGGCGGCTCCCTACTATGGCAAGTCACAGAGAGAGATGTAAGGGGAAGAGAGAGAAGAGGCCGGAGAGAAGAGAGGTAGGGTGCGGGGACGCCTGGTGGTGCTTGCTCCGGCGAGCTCTATCGCAGAGGCGGCGGGGTCCAGTAGGTCAGGCGAGGAGAGGTGGTCATGGACGAGGAGGAGGTTGCGGCCTCGAACGCTCGCGGGTGCAGGGACGCGCGAAGCAGGTGGTTGAAGGCGACTGGAGGCCGGTGGCGATGCTGGTTGGGGATGAGGAGGCCCTCAAGGCAGAGGCGCACGAAGCTCGGGCGGCCGGCGAGTTGACTCCGGTGATTCGGGGCTGATGAATAGCTCCGGCGCGAGGCCGCCATGTGAGGGGGGATCGGGGACGAGGGATTGGTCAGGCGGGGTAATTGCCTCGATCCGAAACTGGATCGAGCACTATATAGGCGGGCGTAGGGATCGATGGAGACAGGGGCTGGTGGATTGGATCGGGGGAAATGAGGGGATCCCGAGGAAGAAAGGTAGGTGGGTGGCGGCAGCTCGGGAATGAGTGGTTGGATGGGACATGATCCCTAGATTTTAGGGTTTTGTCTGGTTATATAGGTAGGGGATTAGATGTTATACTATTTGGTCCCTCCGATAAAAATCGGACGGTCCGAGAAGAATAAGTTAGGTAGCCCAATAAACAAAACGGAGATGTTTTGTAGACGTTTGGGGATGATCCGGATCCAACGGTGACGACTGAGAGGGTCGGGTTCGGGGAAGTTTCGGACACGCACGCGAGGGGTCGGTTGGAACTTGTGGGCTGTGCAGAAGAGCTCGAGCTGAGAGAAGAGAAGAGAGAGAGACCCGGAGACCGAAAACGTCCGACGATTTGACCGACTATAATGTCGCTATAGTTATCCGTTGGGGCGTCAAACGGACTCTAAATGCGATGAAACTTGGTACGCGGCCTACTGACAACATAACAACACCGCATGCTAGCTTTCAACCCATTCCGAGAACATTTTCCGGCCACTTACAAAGTAATATTTCGGACGTGCCGCGGGCGCGTGCAAGTGTGTCTGGTGGTACGTCTCCTATGTATCTATAATTTTTTATTGCTCCATGCTATATTATCTATTGTTTTGGATGTTTATGGGCTTTATTATACA